CCTCTGCTTCTGGAGAGCCTGGTCAAGAAACACCGGGCTACAGCTCTCAGGTCATCCTCCCCTCAAAGCTAGTGCGTGGGGAGGCAAGTTCATGTTGCACAACATGGCAGTGGCCCTCCTCCAGGATATGGGAAAGTGACAGGTTGCTTTTATGATTGGGGGTGGGTTTATTCCTCCATGAGAAAAAGAAGCTTATTTCATCTCCTGTTGAAAATACGAGGTCGAGAAAAGCACCAGATGGCCTGTAATCTCTCATCTTTCTCCAGAGACCACTATCTACACCATGGTACAACAAAAGCTGCACACTCGATAAAGCATGTTTTGGAAAAGTTTAGTGGCCACTGGCAAATAATGATTCAGTGAGAGCACGCCTCCAGTCCAGAGCAGCCATCCCAGTCAGCTAGCGGGATAGAGCTCCCCATCCTGGCTGTAACCCAGGCTGGGCAGGAAACAATTCTACTGCCTGTAAAACAACAACAACAACAACAACCACCACCACCACCGAAACAGGAGAAAAAAAATCAAAAGGCCATTTCACAGAATGGTCTTGGCATGTCAGCAAAAGCAAGACAGGATGGAATTGCCCACAACTGGCTTTGCACAGACATAGAAAGCATTTCTCCCTGGTTATCCCCTTCCTTTCCACAGAGCTTTCCAAGCTCAAGCTTGACAAACTGGAACAGACAGCTCTGAAAATACATGTCCCCCTTTGCAGTCGTGGGTCAGGGATTCAAAACAGATCCAGGATCGTGCTCCAAAAGCAGTTGAGGAGGGAGGGCTTATTCAGGGTTTAAAAACAACACAAAGCAAAACAATCTCCCCACTGCCACCTCAAGCACTGTTAGAGACATTTCTTCTCTTCCCTTGGCCCCAGCAAGAGGCTCAGGAATAAAGACTTTCACTTTAATGCCCCAGCCCTTCCCTGCAGCCCTGCGTAGGGAACTGAATAGCAGCATATGCACATCTACTCAGCCTCTCGAGTCTTAAATTTTAATTCTTACTTTTTGACAGCATGTATAATTTTATCTCGTCCTTTGATAAATGTTACTCCCCTCTTACTCTGTTCAAACATGGCTTAGCTAACTAGTAAGATGTTACTGAACATAAGCACGTGTAACCTAATAAAGCAAAGGACCTCAAGACCTGATGTGTTCTATACCTGCATGACTGCCCACTGTCTCTTTCCTGGCCCTCGTTTGCTGTGCACTCAAGTCACTTTGCACATCTCTTATTTCTACATATGCAAGACCCACCTCCCTTCAACATGGGGAAAGCATCTTAGCAAACCCCTCTTGCCACACACTAGGGAAGCAAAACTCAGGGAAGTCCCCAGGTTCCAGCACAAACCACACAGCTGCTGCAGAACACCCATAACTCACACAGCACAAACACAACCTGAGAAGCCAGTCTATTCTTCTAAGCAAAAATGCCCTTTTTTCCTCCAGCTCAGTCCCTACTGCTCTTTGTCCTCTCCTCGTCCTTGGCAAGCTGCAATACTTGCACAGGGTCAAGGGCAAATCAAGAGCTTTGCTCAGGGTGGAGCTGTGGTTCCAATCCTTGGTAGCTAACCCCTGCGCCAGGGCTGTGGTGGGCGTGGCTTTTCTCCACTAAAAAAGTAAAGATGAGGGCTGAAGGGAGGGCACAGCAGCATCTCCAGCTCATTGGGAGCTACAGCAGGTCACTGTCCTTTGCATGAGGGCTACCATGGTCACCTGGGGCAGGAGAAGGTTCAAGAGCCAAGCCCTAACCAAGATGAAATGCCACTGCAATTCTCCTCCCCCAAAAACTATGTTGAGGGCTGGAGTTATGTGAATTGAAGATATCCTGATGCTGGACAAAGGTAGAAGCGCAAGAATTGCTGTAAGAGTCCTCCAGAGCCTGGATGCATCCTCCAGGGCCAGGACAGAAAGGGCTCACAAATCAGCTGCAGCCTCAGGGCCATTTGAGGTCACCACAATGTCTCCCTACCTGACCAAGTTGCAGGGGGCAGCAGTTCAGTCAGATCAGGAATCACCTTTATTAGATGAGGATCTAAGGGAAGAGGCTCAAGAACTACACATTTCTCTTTGGGAAAAAGAAACATGCCAGAAGGGCACATACAACCTCTCTGGCTGGGAGGGTACATAAACAGTGAGAGGAACACAGCAAGGAAATAACTCTTAACAAGTTTTTTGCCTTGTTTGTCATTTGTTTTACCTTTCTTTCTTTAAATTTTGTACAACACAAGTTTCCTTCCTTTTTTTTCCTTCTATCACTGTTGAAGGAAGAAGGGTAGAAAGGTTGAAGCAGAGGAAACAACAGGAAGGAAAGATAGGAAGAAAGGAGAAGGATAATGCAAGATCTTTCTTTTGTCTTGGTACCTTTTTTAGTAAACTGTTTCCCTGGCTTTCCTTTCTGGAGAGAGGGATTAAAGCAATCTTTTTTAATGAGGAAAAAAAAAAAAGGAAAAAAACTGAAAACCCAAAAGTGGTAGTTAAGTGCTTGACAGATGTCTGTCCTCTCTTCCATATAAAGTCTTTTTCTTCCACCTAGGAGGAGCAGCACAGTATGGCCACCTGGTACTTTCTCTTGGACTTCAAATGCATTGTATCTTGGCATGTTACCAACAACTACAGGGGAAAAGTAAATTACCTCCCTCCTCTCCATACCATCCCTTCAGTACTGTATTCCTTGTGGTGGGCAGGACAGAAGCAGTTTCCCATCAGACTCAGAGATCTCCAGAAGAGCTCAAATCCAGGGGCTGATGGAGACCTGTCAGATCTGTCATATGCATGCAGCAATGCCTGAGATCTTTGTATAAGATTAGAAAATTATTACTTGGCCTCTAACTGTGCTGGGGATCTTACAGCAAAAGACATGGGCATTTTCTCTTGTTTCCTCAGCTGGGTGTATCTAAGTGGTTTTAGTTTTTAAAGGAAAGGGAATTAAACAACTCTGGGTCACTGAGATTTCCCTTAAAATTCCCAAAATTCTGTCAATCCTATCCAAAGAAACTGGATTCATTTCCTGATCCTGGGAATTCTGGAATTGCTTTCAGTGGGGACAGCAACACCTCCTCTGCCTTTATTAAAACAAGCTGCTTCCTGGCAGAGGTGGGTGCTACTATCAGATTATACATCAGCAACAGAGGAACCAGTTCATGCAGTATTTATTTTCAATAACACAGCCCCACATTTGTGCTCAAAACTGAAAACCGATTTATCTCTATGTAGGATTTTTACAGTTTTGCCCAACTGCCTCAGAAAAGGAGTAAACCCATCTCCACATCTTCTCTCCACACCGAATTGTGAGTAACATTGCTGGGAGGGGGAGGAAAAAACACCAAACTACTTACCTTGAGGCCTGACTGCAAGCCTCTAGATGCTAAGCTCTTCCTGCAATTACTGTTGCAAATGTGACATTCAGCTCTTTAAAAAATAAAAATAAAATAAATGGTGTCTTATGTGGTTGCTGCAGCCCTTTGTAGGGAACATGAATGAGATTTGCCAGCTCTCTCATCCTTCCGCAGTAAAACATCTCCAATCAAGTGATAATGTCCCAGAGAGGTACAAATTCTGATACTTGACTTTCAGTGTTCATTTCACCAACAGTTTGTAGTTTTTAAAGGAAAGGAAATTAAATGGGGAAAAGATTGCCCTATGCTAATTCTCCAGTTAAACTCACAGGAAACTGCAAAAGATAAGGTTCCCATAGCAATTGGAATAGGTGCCGAATTGCACAGATGAGGCCCGATTTCCCTGCTTACTTTCAGTGCTGGTAGCTTATCTCCACACAGCACAGGGAAAAGCAATTACTTGGAACAAGGGAAAGGAGCCTGTGGCATCTGTGATTCATTTTGATGGCCATTCTTTGGCGTGGTTGGATGCGCCAATATTGCAACACAGCCATGCACCAGAGCGTGTACCTTCGACCACAGCAAAGCTCTTGGGGGGAACCTGCCACTGGCCTTTCTTGTGGTTTTGGCTGTGAAATTCTGATAGGCATTCAAGCAGGATTTGACAGGGAGTTTTACAGCTCCAGCCTCCACAGGACAGAGTCATCTGGCACTGCACCAAACCCTGTATCCAAGCACAATTCCTCCCAGCCATCATCTCACATTTTTTACTACCCTGGCAATGACAAGCCTTTAATTCGACACAATCTGCTTCCAATGAGCCCATCTTACCTATTAATTATGCTTTATCTTGCCTGAGCTGATGATTATTGCGCCCAATTATGCCTTCCTTATCCCCTGAGCGGTCACCTGCAGCAAAGCCAAGGGAGTGCAATCATTCTCCCACCCTCGCCCCAAAGCTACTCTGCAGCACTGACCCAGGCCCATCAGCTCCTTCATTAATTCCTCTACAAAATGCCCCAGCAGCGCAGTTAAATTTGTGGGCGTGAAGTCCCCAGGGTCTCATTTCTCCCAGCTGTGATGCAGCTCTTTTTTCCCCCCTTTTGATTTTTTTACCAGCTGCTCTGAGACTTTTCTTACACTCCATGAATTTTCTGAAAGAATTGTCAAATATTCATCGGTTTCACTCTCGGATGCGTTTTTACTGGGCCGTGTAGTTTTGACCAAGAGCAAGTCCCCTAGGTAGTTATTCCTCACCCACTTTCCAGCCTAAGACTGCCTTGAGATCCATCATGAACAACTATGATTGCATCAAGCACCCTGTCACTCTCTTCCCTTTCAGTGACAAGCTAAAGCTGTAACTACTAACACTGCATCCTCCTTTTTGTCATTGGCTATGATATGTTCCTCTCTTCCTCATACATAGGTGACCTAGCAGTGTATTTTCCTTTGTTATCCTCCAGCTTCTTATGTACTTCTGAACCAGCTTACTTATTTCCTGCACTAACACCCCATCATTTTGTGCTGTTGCATCCCTCACTTGGCTCCTTCACACCTTTGCTCCCTTCTCTCTCTCACCACTGTGGTTTCTTTTCCTCCTCTCAACATGAATGCCCCTTTTGCACCTTTTATTTTCTTTTTTTTTTTTTTTTTTTTTTTTGGTTACTGTGTTGTTTTTCTCTTCCAAACCAATGTCAGTACTGAAGGACACTTCTAACAAAAGCATGTTGCAGTCTTCCCAGCTACTGGCAGGGTGAGTTGTCCCCAGGGTGTCAAAAGAAATACTGTCCCCAGTGGGTGCGACCAGCTGGCTGGAAGGAGAGGGTGTCCCAGATGCTTCTGTCTCAGGCGTGAAGGAGAGAAGGGAAGTGCCCGGGAGAGAAAACAAACCACTTTGGGAAGGAGAGAGCAAATCAGTCTGCCTTAGAAGTGGGTTTCTCTCTCTGTGATGCTGAGCACCTCCTGGATCGGAGGAGACCATCCCTGGCGCCTCGGTTCGGACAGCCCCGCCGCGTGCTTCTTCGGCTGCGGCAGATCCTCTGCCGGGGAAATCAGCTGCATCAGCCGCTGCGGAGAGGAAGTCTCTGTTAATTAAGCTGATAAACAAACTGACAGCCAATGGTGATCCACAACCATTGCTGGGGGCAAAGGCATCTAGAGAGCCACTGCTCCCAGCTCCCTGCTCCTCTCCCGCTGAACCGCTGTGAAAGAGAGAGGGAGGAGAGCAGGCTAACTTCAGCTGGACTCCTCACGGACCGGTTCTGTGAGGGAGGATGCCAGCAATTAGCACCACAGCCATTTTCTGTGGCAATGGAAGAAAACGCCACAAAGCCCTTTTTTTTCCTATACCAAGCAGCCATGCTCGCCATTGACTTTGGTGAGAGCTGCGAAGCCTTTTGGATGGTCTGATCATCAGAAAGTGCTGTGGTCCAAAACAGGGTGGTAGGTGATAGCTACCTCAGTGGTATTTCCCAGGTTAAGCAGTCCCTCTGCAAACTGGTTCCTGGCCCCAAACCATCCCAGCTCCCCTCTTCCAGCCAGCCAGACTGCGATGGTGAAGACAGGGGTTGTGAGGCAGCTCCCCGCTCTTAGCTCCCTCCGCCCCATGCAATGCAGGGTGCTACAGGCTGTTCCACACACACATATGCAGTGTTGTGACAGCTTTGGGGAGTTTATTCTTAAAAAATGCAAGTATCTTCGAGCTCTTTGGGGGAAAAGTGCTGGCTTACAGGGACAGCTGCTGTGAATTTCTGGTGTTACTCATCTGATTTTTGAAGCCCCTCTTGTGCCACATGCCTTCCTGAGCTCTTGGTCTCCTCCCAGAGCCAACCAATACTCAGTGTCCTGCAGCTACCTGCCAGGCTCCATGAGAGAGCGTATCATTTCCCCGATGAAAACTGGCTTTCACAGTTACTAACTTTTTCCATCACAAGCTGTTCAGGCCAGTGCACGCTCCTCCCTTGCAGAGTGCATCCCAGCAGAGCAGCCGATTCATCCATGACTCGTTGGATTAATTTTAGTGCTCCCATCCCTTGTGAAGTGCCTGCCAGAATCATGGATTTTGTTCACTTATTCAAAACTATTTGCCCCATGATTTCTGAAATTGACCTCGGTCTGCAGCTGCTTTGTGAGCAGTTGATTGTGAATTTTCAGTCTTTGGAGCTTGAGCTGCCTTAATCAGACACATTAGGAAACAACATTTGTGTTTCTTGGTCAATCAAGTATAACAACAGGCATCAGTTTGTTGCAGTGACTGATCATAATTACCAATTACAAACTTGCTTTCAGTGAGTGTTTTGCAATATTCAGTTGAAAGGCACTGTTCCTGGAAACATCTGTGCCAGGAAATTATTTCACTACATTTCTGGGGTGTGTCTGGAAAAAGAGAACAGGTATATTTTGGGAAAACTTGTTTTCAAAAAAGGTGCAAGTATTCCAGGAGGTATCATGTGGCTGGCTTTGATTCTGCCCTGAATCAACCCAGGTTTAGCAGCCGATTCCTTCCCACATACCTAAATCACATCTTTGAAAGTTCCTTCATACTAATGTAACTGAGGGGTCCCTGGAAATTACAAATAACATCATTTAAACCAGAGCAGAACAGAAAAACCCTCCATCTGAAACAGGCCACATCAGTTCCTCAGGAGTGCTCTGGAATAAACATTAACACTACTCACAGCAGCACTTCTGTCCAAGCACTTTGCCATGGGTGAGAGAGATTGCTTGTTTAGCAGGCATGACACGTGGGCAGTTACATCAGTGACATCTCCACGTCCTCTTTTAGACATATAAAGCCTCTGAGCCATGGGGAGTCAGGTATGTCAGCCACCCAGTCAAACTCTTCAAACCAGCCAAGGGAAAGGACAGATGCATCACTGCTAAACGGCTCAGAGCACAGGAGAGGGCTGTAAGAGGCAGGACTAGAGATCTGAACTTGGAGAAAACCATATCACAGCACCTTGGCACAAGATTCACCTGCAGTTCCTCATACTGTACAGTTCCCAGCTTCCTTCCAAACTCATAATCTCTTCATGTCTGCCAACAGCAACCAGGAGACTGTGGGGTCAAAGGCAGCTAAACAGAAACTATTTCAGAGCTTCATACTTCTCCTCTACCTTCCTGCCTGCATGGCTTATGCCCCTCTCAGTGTTTCACAGAAGACTTTAATTGTTGCCATTCCTGTCTGGGCCTTGTCCTGTATCTTTTCCTGAGCCTGGGACAGGAATTAACCAGCTCTGCCATAACTCTTGTCTCTCCCTGTTGACACACCTCCCAGCCAGCAAATAAGAGCCCGTGTAGGCACAGATTCACCTTCCTTGAGACAATGGAGCCAACCAGAACATCCTGCACCCAGCCCATCCCTGGATGTGTTGGCAGCACAGGGTCTCCATGACCCCACGATGTGACCATCATACCCACACCACAGCCACAGGGATGCTCCCATTCCCTGTTCACCTGCTCCCTCTGTCCACCACAACCCCCAACCAGCTGCAGTGAGGACGGGGAAGGACCAGAAGAGAAATTGTGTAGAAATTTAGATGTACTGTACATCACTCAAATCTTTCTTCATGGGTCAAGTGAGGTGTCATCTCCATGACACCATCTTCCTAAATACAGTTTTTCCTAGGACAAGAAGAAAGGTGTCTACAGTGAAAGATGACAGGCTTGGGCACGGCACAGGGTAGACCTTTACAGCTCTGTGAGCATGTCCTCTTTAATAACTCTGGGTAATTTCTTTTTTGAAAATAACATAGTCCTGACCCAGGAATAAAAGGGACAAGAAGTAAAGGCAAAACAGATCCTGGTTTTGTATTGGGTTTGCATTGCAACCTACTGTATATATACTATATATATATATGTATGTATGTATATATATGTATATATATTGCACTGAGTATGGTGGTGCAACACCTCATGAAAGACTTTGGACATTTGATGATCACCCTGGAAGCTGTGCTGAGACACTTCAAGCCCTCCAAATTGCCAACAAGACCTATAGAATATACTGGGGAAGGGCCACTCTCACCCTCCCTTGCCTTCTCGCAGGAGAGATATGCCACATGCATCTTCCCTGGGGCCCTTCCGTGAGCCATCTGGGGGAAGCAACAGCAACATGCCCAGTGACCACAACCCCAGTACCTGCTTCAGCGGTCCTTTGGTCTTCAGGAGGATGAAGATGGCGTAGAGAGGAATACAGACCATGGAGGAGAGTGCCATCAGCCAGCCCAGCACGTAGCCCCAGGCTGGGTACTCGTAGGAATTGTTGTATTTCAAGGGTGTGTACTTGATCAGGGAAAACAGGAAGACACCCTGAGGAGCAGAAAACACAGACTTAAACAGAACAAAGGGAGCAGCCAAGCCCAGCAGCCTGGCCACCCTGCAAGCACCATCTGTGTGGCAGTGAGTGTGCTGTCTTGTATGAGCTAGAGTAGACCTGGCTACTTGTGGCAAGCAGAGTTTGGTGCATGCTGGCTGCACAAGAAGTTACCTCTGAGCCAGGGCCAGGCATCTCCACAGTGTAAAGCCTTCAGGCTTCTTAAGAGTTCAGTGTAAGCAAAGTTGACAGCAACTTTGAGGGTCCAGCAACATTGAGACAGCAATTTATTCATATCAAAGCCAGGAATTGTTGTTCTTCCTGGCAGAAGCCCTCCAGAAGTAACATATGTGGGCACGGATTTACCCATCCCAGGGCTCTAGCTACAGAGCTTTCAGATGATTTGGGCTGACTCAGGCTTGGTTTGAAAATTTCCCTGATTTTCAAGTCCTGCTGGAGCCTAAGGATGAAGGACTAGGAATCTTTTGTAAGTTGTAGCTATAGATCCCATCTGTGTTCCCACTGAGGTCAAAGAAAACAACTCTCAACATCAGATGCAGGAGCAGAATTTGGCTCAGAATTCATGTAAAAAGCCAGTGGAGCAAGACTGGACATAAATTCAAAACAGGCAAGAACTTGCCTGACATTGGGTGCATTTTCTTTAAACACAGTCACAGAAGCTTTACAAGTAGTTTAATAACATAGAAAGCTGTGGAAAACATTTCTGAACCACAGGCAATCCCAGGAACACAGGCTGAAGCAAGTATTTCAGAACAGGGTAATTCTCACTAGTCTTCTACTCAAAAGTAATTTGACCAAACCTCTCCAGGCTTTTAGGATATATTTCCCTTTGTCTTCACAGTAAACAAGTGGCTTTTCAGGCTCAGTTAGTTGTCCAGGCAAAACATAAGGCTTTACTTTACGAAAGAAATAAATAGCCACCTCAGTTGTGGACAAGCTTCTCCTTCTCCATAGCAGTTTGAAAAAATTACAGCAGCACCTTGGAGAAAAAGCAACCTTTTTTACTGGGAGCTCAGGGACCCAGAGTGACATACCATGTTGCCATAGTTGCACTTACCAAGCACAGACCCGGGGTGAACACCAGCCAGCAGATCTTGATCAGGGGCCAAGGCCGGAAACCAATCATGTCCTCAACGTTGTCGTAGAAGCGGTCGGCACCTTGGCCACCAACCATCACAGAGACAAAGTCAGAGGTCAGATCACTGTTGTTGCCTCCAACCACTACTCACATCAGATCCCAACTTCCTTTATCCTTGGTGTTTAGTCCTGGTAAAAACATGGCTACCCTAATAATAGAGCAGCAGGTGGTGGGCTTTTCTGGCGTTGAAAAGGCCCATCTGTGGCTAAATAGAGATGGAGGTTTTTAACTTCATCCATAAGTTGTCAGAAAGCTTGACATAGAAGAAACACACAGTCCCTCAGAGAGCAGCAGCTCTCAGAGGGAGCAGCCCATGTACTGGTAAGGGCTGGCACAAGGAAAGGAGAAGTTGTCTGGTTTATAGATCAGCAAGGAAAAGCTCTTGCAGGTTGAGCACACGGGATTACATGAGTCCAGAGTGCTAAGAGGAACAAAGAGAATAGGGAACACCTAACAAAACCCTCTCTTTGTAAACAGATATGCTGTTATGCCTGTCAAGAATCCCCCCAGAGCTGGGCATGACCCTTGTCATCAAGCGCCTGCCTTCCACAGAACACTTAATTTTTGGCATAAACTGGCAATCCAAATTCTTCCAGAAACCAAACCTTCCATCTGAAAATGCTGCTGTACTCTCCAATGAGAGCTGTTCAGTGGATGCCTATCTCCTTCTTGTCTCCTCAGTAATTTCACTTACTGAATTATGTTGTTCAGAGTATGTGGGACCCACCTGAATCTCATGGTGCACTGGAGTGGGATATACCTCTGAAAAGCATCTGAAAGTCCTGCCACTGGCTGGATTCTAACCATTGACTCTTCCTAGCCCAAGGCACAAAGAGGAAATGGATGAAATATCATACAGAGACAACATAATGCAGATGGACTTCAGCAGACCTTGTAATAAGCTCTAGGGCATCTTCAAGGATCAAGAGCCTAATGTTGGCCAGAAAGATATTTAAAATGAAGAAAAATCAAGAAGTCGTTCATAAGATGGATAAGATTCCCTAACACCTTCCTAAACAGAACTAACCAGAGATACTGTAGCAGACTGCCTCAGGTAAAATAATACAACAACATTAGATTAAAAAAATGGAGATAGTCTATCCAGAAAAAGGGTTACAAGTTAAACAGCTCTAGGATGAAATAATAGCGTATTTGTCTTATTAAAGTTTTATCACAGTGTTTAGCTGACAAAGAAGGATTCTGCTTTTGTGTTTTTATCCACCTGTGAACTCATGGCCACGCCATGGTTTTCACCTGCAAGGGCAATGACACCTTGCTTCTTTGCATCTTAACACCAGAAGGCTGAACTGGGCAAAATATGTACCTAGAGAACTGGCCACACTTGTGAGTGTTTGGGGTTTGGTGAGTTTTATTTTGGTTTGTGGCTTTTATGTTTCAGAATTAAATTCCCATATTATGTTTCCTTTAAATATATTTTTTTCTACAAAAGCACATTATGTATGCTTTTCTATTTTTTTTGTAATTTTTTGCAGTATTTTCTATATACCATGACTAATGCTTGCAGAAAATCTCTTTTAAACCCAGATTTTTGAAGTATATAGACTGGAGGGGGGTAGTTCTTTGAACACCTCACGGTGTTGAGTTGGCGAGTTAACAAGTAGCCTCAAGCAAAGACAACAAGCTGTGGCATATCAAGGGACATGCAACCTTGTGTGGGAGTCCAGCCTACCCAGAGAACCTCCAAGCTGTAAATATCAGGAGGCTTCAGATAGCATTTCTAAAAATATACTGGGAATGAAAGGAGATGGTATATGAAATTTATTTTGCCAAAAAGCTGAAATTATCTACAGGGTGGAAAAAAAAAAAGAGATACAAATGACATGAATTGCAGTTCAGAATATGAGTATAGCACAGTGTCTTACACCATATAGTGTTTCCACAGAAACACAGTGTGATGTCAGAAGGGACAGATAAATTAATTACTAATACAACTTTGTGGCAGATAAAACTTCCCTGCAAATTTGGATGTAGAATCTAGTCAAAGAGACACAACAACTAAAGAAATACAAAAATACCAAACAAAAAGGAGAACACAAACACGTCCATCCTCCACCAAGAAAACAATCCAAAACTAAAGCTGTTAGTTACAACGAGCCTCCACCAGTCCTTATCCCTTTTCTCTGTAGTACAACCATCAGGTCCTGCATTTCTGTGGCCACTATGGCAGTCAGTGGGTGATGTGATGAAATGCAATGAAGACTGACAGGAACATTCTCAGGAAGTATATGAGCAGGAGGTTTTATATATTCTAAGTTTCACAGGCAGAGGAAAAAAGTAATTAAACTTAAGAAGTCATCAGTTCAATCATTCAACATTGCCTTTGCAAGCAAATTAGAAGCTGAAGGACGTGTGCTGGAGGAATGTGCCCTTTCTTCCCAGGATTAGATAAAGCTCCTGCAGAGTAAACCATAAAGACTTCCCCAAAGAGATTTTTGTTGGAATGAACAAAGAGGTTTGCTGTTATCTGCAATATCCCAAGACAAGGAAGAATGGTATGCAGGCACTGGACAATTAACCATGCATGCTGGTACCACTTCTCTTGTGCTGATCAATCCCACATACCTTTAAAGTGGTTGCATGGTTTTCTGACAAATCCTTCAATTTTGCCACATAAATTAATAAAATAAATTTCACATTAAACCAACTAGAGATTTGCTTATATATTTACGTCTTGTCCTTATGGAGCCCATCTCATTTTACGTAGCTTATAACAGTGAGACCCAAACTGAAAGGGACAAAGATTTGATTTTATTTTTACAAGATTCAAAAAACAGTGAGTTTCACAAGTCTGCTAGTTTGGAATCTATGAGAAATCCCTCCCTGTCTTTTCTTCCAATCTGTGTTTATTTGCATTCATCTATACCAAACTTCATCCACAATATTTCAATAGGTGATGACCCTGGCTCCATGCCACGAAGCTGAGCTTGTATCTGCTCCCTCCCTGTCTCAAACCTGCAGCATCAACACCTGCACCAAACCTGTGCAAAGAGCCAGCAACGGAGGCCTTGTGGCACTGCAACCACTGCAGATCCACTGGGTACCAGGTGCATGGGGCAGACCCCTTATTGTCCATAAATAAGCATGTAAGGTTGCCTGTACCCAGTGCATCTGAGAGGATAAGGCACATGGAGCCAGTGCAAACCTTACAGGCAGCATCCTGGCAAAAGGAGGCTGCTGCTTCTGGAAGCCACACTGCCTGTGAGTAATAGAGATAGAGAGAGATTTATCACAGCAAAACACAGGTTTGCCCTGGGGCCACCCACAGGTACCCACTGGCATCAGTTTGCTTCAGCTTTGTAAATGGTCCTAATGATTTTAGCGCTGGCTGTCCTGTAGTGATTGAGGCCCTTGCTTTCCCCTGGAACAGCTAATCCTAATGTGCATGCTGTGACTGCCTGCAAAACATCCTGTCTGCAGCACATTTCAGTAGCATCATGTTGTGAATCCCAGTGCTCAAAACCCATGCCTGCTTATAGAAGGGCTGCTTGTCCCAAAGTGGAAGGGAGAGAGGAGGAGGGGCATGGAGGGGACCAAAATCCCTCCAGGACTCCTCTCTGGGGGACGTGACCAGCAGGTCCGATGCTGCATGATCCTTTCACAGGCAGAGAGCAGCATGCGAGGAAATCCTCAGATCTTCAGGAGAGCAGCTGCCTGGCAGCAGAGGGAAGCTGCCAAGTGGTGGGTGGTTGGCATATGTGCTGGGAGAGGGGAAACTCAGAACGCATATTTGTGTTAGCAGAAATGTTGTAATTCTTCACAGGGTAAGCAAGAGGCTCAGCCCTGCCAATTCTAATGCTGGGTTAAAAAAAACCAACTTTAATCAGCACCAGACACTTCTTTTTCCATTAAAATGCCTCACCCTGGCCCTCTGACTACATTTTGGATGAGAATCTTCCCAATGGATGCAAAGCAGAACATGAAGAGGGTAAAATCCCACTGTGTGGAGTGATACAAATGAACTTGTGGGGGTGAGGAAAAGGGCCATTTCTCTGTCCCCAGTTACTCAGTTTCCCTTCAAGGCTGCTGGGACAGCACCATCTCTCCTGCTACTCATTATCTGCCATTGCTGCTGTCCATGGGTCATCAGAAAAGGCATGTGGCCTCTGTGGCGGTAAAAATGTCAGGGGGGCTGCATTCTTTAAACCATAATTCTGTTTAATGAATTAGGCTAGCACAGTGTGATGATGAAGCCTTGTCACAGATGGATGGAGATCTTCATGTCCCTATAAATTCCAGAAGGACTGGGCAGAAGATGCCTCTAAATTAAAATCTGGCCAGGGTCTGGTATTGCAAGCTGTCAGGTGAGTTTTCCTTGCAGGACATCCCTCTAAAATATATCTTTCTTATATATCTGCTTCTCTCGCATTCCCTGGAGGCCAAATCCAAGTAGCTGGATTGGCTACCATTTCAGTAAGGCAGGAGTTCATCCAGACTAGCACTTGGCTCCTGCTGTACATAAAGTATTTGGAGAAACCGATATCCTTCATCAGCACCTGCACTGCAGCCAACGCAACCTCTACGAAACTGTAAGCACCAAAGAGAGCACAAAGGGGCTGACTGTCTGTAATAAGGCAAAGGTGGCATCAAATGAAATTGGTAGGTGGCAGATTTAAAACAAGCAAAGAGAGTGACTCCTCACACAACACCTAAGCAAGCCATGGAACTCCTCGCTGCAGCATTTTGTGGATGATAAATGCTTAACCAAGTCAAACAGGAAAATGAACAGAAGAGAAATAAATAGATTTCACTCCTGGCTGTGGAAATCCCTGGGCAACAAGCTGAGTATTGCACCTGACTCTAGGACCCTCAGCACAAGAAAGACATGGACCTGTCACAGTAGGTCCAGAGAAAGACCATGGAAATCATCAGAAGGCTGAAGCATCTCTCCTACAAAGGCAGGCTGAGAGAGTTTGGGCTGTTCAGCCTGGACAAGAGAAAGCTCCAGGGAGACCTTGTTGCAGCCTTTCAATATGTAAAGGTGGCTTATAGTGACATGACAAGGGTTAACAGTTTTAAATTGAAAGAGGATAGATTTAGAGAGGATGTAAGGAAGAAATTTCTCACTCTGAAGGTGCTGACACACTGGAAACAGTTGCCCAGAGAGGTTGTGGATGCCCTATCATTGCAAATGTTCAAGGCCATGTTGGACAGAGCTTTGAGCAACCTGGTCTAGTGGAAAATGGCAAGGAGGGTGGACTAGATGACCTTCCAACCCAAACCATTCTATGGTTCTATAATAAGTTGTTAAAAGCTGGAAGAACATTCACAGAAAGTATAATTCCTAATTTTTCTTTTATTGTATTCCTCCATAATCATCCACTCCTGGCCATTGAGACACATGATGCTGTGCTTGCAGTCTTTTCCTTAGGTTAGGGTGGCAGTGCTGCTTGAAGTAGTTGGAACCAGCAGATGTGTGACAGTGGAATGTTGAGGGTCTGGTCTAAGCTGGCATCTACTGTGGCTTTGCACAGTCCTTACAAGTACCAAGATCATGTAGCTCCACAAAGCTAAGGAGAGGGAGCAGCTTCCCTGTATCACACACAACTAGGTTCTTTGCCCAAAAACCACCAGCCTCGACACAAGCTTCAAAGAGACGAACTGAGTGCCCAGGAAGAGATCTCCTGTAGGATATCAGAGTATACTCTTCTTACTGCACATACGAACAAGCAGTTGATTTCTTCCTCATAGTTCGCTGGGCTTAGTTTAATCCTGCTCCTGAGTAGTTTAGTGACAGACTTCACCGAGAGCCAAAGCAGGCTCTCCTATTTCTTTTGGGATTGCCATCACAGCCTGTGCAAAACAGGATGCCTGTATCATCACAGAAGTGACACACAGCAGGTCTGCACCCTGCATTTTGCATTCGATTAACTGACAGGACTAAACTAAATGCACAGTGTAAGCAGACAGGGACAAACACCAAACAACAGCAGACAATCCACTACAGTTGATTTTCTAATTGAATGGGCAGATGGGAAAAACAGCAAGGTAGTTCAACAGGAGTCACCTACAGAGAAGGAAAAAACATTCCTATTCTAAATGTGGAGCAATTAAGAAATGTTGCAAGAAAACACAGTGAAAACCAGAAAAGAAAGAGGGTAATTACAGCATTTTTTTGCCCCCTGAGGATCCTTTCTATCCATTCCCACTTCTCAACTTCCCATTCTTGCCTTGAGAAAGAGCAATATAGATTCTTGTCCTCCACTTACCATACACCCATCCTATACAGATGACTTCAAAAACAGACAGGAAGAGCAGGCACATGCCACTGGCAGCATAGTAGTCAAAGAGCTGGAAGATGTACATGCCACCCTGTTGAAGAGGTAGAAAAGACAGAGGCATGACAAGACTATTCCATGTCAGGGAAGAATGAGTGAGGCAAACAGAAGAATAGCAGCAGAAACATTGAGCCTAGAGCAGGTGGGAGGAGAGCCTTCTCTTGGGGCTGCCCCCACTTTGTCCCAAAAAGACAGTCAGGCCTGGTGGTAGGAGAGTATTTCATGCCCATTTTATGATCCTGCTTGGCTAGACTGGCTTCTCAGTTCATAGGAGCAGAAGTCAATTTGTTTGTTCATTTAAAATCAGTTAGCAAGTTTCCAGCATCATTTCAAAATACCATGCAGCAGTGCAGAACTTTGCACCCAAAAACCTGAGATCTTGAGCACCAGGACATTCAGATACCTCATTTTATCTTCGTCCAACTTTACATACTGCTCAAGGTCCAAGCTCTGCAGTGGCAGAGACATGAGGCTGCCCTCCTGCCTCTGCCTTTGAGCTGAGCCCTGAGGAGTTGCCATCAGCTACCTCTACAGGCCACTGAATGATTTTCATGTGATTTCTCAGAGAGAAAGCCCCTCCAAGTCAAGCAGATGTTTTCAAATAATGCTGAACAGTTCTAGACACGCAGTTTCATTCAAATCAATTGCAGTGGGAGCTGCTTTCAGCAGCTCCCGAGCCAGGATCCTGTTGGAGGATCATTCATCAGTGCCTAAGGAGTTGAGCAGGAATTAGCTGACACTGCATGGAGGCAGCGTAGAGGAGTGCTAAGACCCCCACCCAAGCATGTGGTATGCACACAGAGCACAGCACACCACTGTGCAGGATGAGATGCTTGACTCTCAGCTGCAGAGCAGTGTGAACAACGCGCACATACTGTCACAGCTCTGCTCCTTCTGGTCCCAGGGATCACAGACTTCCCACGGGCTCAGGCAGGGTTACGGTGCAGCCATTACTCCCAGGTTCCCCTCCTGCTGCTCTGCTTTGTGTGGAAAGCAGCCAGCAAACGATCTTGTTTTAGCGATCAGGTGTGGTAGGTGTCCTGGGAGGCCAATCAGCTGACTGGGGGGTGGAACCCAGCACATGGACGAGGGATTTAAACGACTGCTGGGAGCGCCGGCGACCCGGAGTGCGGCAAACGGGGACGTGGCACTTTTTGTAGTGGCACTTTTGTAGCGAGGCAGTTCGTGCAGGCAGGGCAAGCAGGAGGGGCACAGTCACCTCCCAGCTCTCTCGGGTGAGCTTCCTCCCCCCGCAGGGATCAGTGTTGGGCCCAGTTCTGTTTCATATCTTTATCGATGATTTAGATGAAAGGATTGAGTCCACCATCAGCAAATTTGCAGATGACACTAAGCTGGGGGGGAGTGTCGATCAGCTGGAAGGCAGGAGGGCTCTGCAGAGGGACCTGGACAGGCTGGAGAGTTGGGCTGATTCCAACGGGATGAGGTTCAACAAGGCCAAGTGCCAGGTCCTGCACTTTGGCCACAACAACCCCCGGCAGCCCCATGGGCTGGGGACAGAGTGGCTGAAGAGCAGCCAGGCAGGAAGGGACCTGGGAGTTTGGATTGACAGGAAGCTGAACAGGAGCCAGCAGTGTGCCTAAGTGGCCAAGAAGGCCAATGGCATCCTGGCCTGTATCAGGAACACTGTGGCCAGCAGGTCCAAGGAAGTGATTCTTCCCCTGTACTCAGCACTGGTGAGGCCACACCTGGAGTGCTGTGTCCAGCTCTGGGCCCCTCAGTTCAGGAAGGATATTGAGGTGCTGGAGCAGGTCCAGAGAAGAGCAACGAGGCTGGTGAAGGGACTCGAGCACAAGTCCTATGAGGAGAGGCTGAGGGAGCTGGGGTTGTTTAGCCTGGAGAAGAGGAGGCTCAGGGGAGACCTCATCACTCTCTACAACTCCCTGAAAGGAGGTTGTAGCCAGGTGGGGGTTGGTCTCTTCTCCCAGGCAGCTATCAACAAGACAAGAGGGCATGGTCTTAAGCTCTGCCATGGGAGGTTTAGGTTAGATATTAGGAAGAAATTCTTTACAGAGAGGGTAATCAGGCATTGGAATGGGCTGCCCAGGGAAGTGGTGGATTCTCCATCCCTGGAGCTTTTTAAGATAAGACTGGATGTGGCACTTAATGCCATGGTCTAGTAACCACGGCGGTAGTGGATCAAGGGTTGGACTTGATGATCTCAGAGGTCCCTTCCAACCCGGCTGATTCTATGATTCTGTTTGCACAAAGTTGTGTGTCAAGCAGCCTCTCTGGGCTGTGGGACCATCTCTCTGGAAGGCTCAGTTGTGCAGAGAGTGCACCAGCATCACACAGGATCAAAGCAGCACTGGCTGTGAGAGACACCAGCTAATGCATTAGAAATGAAGGATAATTAACAGCACCAAAGACAAGTTTGCTGTCTCTGCCCAGACCTCCAGAGCTGTGTAGCAGGGGTTTTGGTGCTCAGCTGTATAACCCAGCTACTCCTTTCTTACCTCAGTGACCAGCAGTAAGCCCAGCAGGTAGCATATGACTGCAATGGCCAGGATCAGCAGCTCCCGACGCCCCTTCTTCCGAAACACTCCTGGGAACATGTCAATAATAGCTGTCACCATGCTTTCCACACAGACAAACTGCAGAAGAAAACAGGTCAGAAAAATCAGTGTCTCTCCTTCCCCAAGCACACACTTCCTCTCACCATCCTTTTTTGCCTCCCACCACCCAAATCCTTGTTTTTTCATTTCGCCTTTTCATCTGTCTTGCTTCCACCAAGGGCTGTCAAAAACAGAGGAAGAAGGCCTGATTCTCCAGGTGGAGGGGCTGAGGTGCTGCAGAGCAGAGCCTGAGCAGAGCACCCTGCCTGGCAAACATGTCAGGACACCCCCTGCATCCCTCATCCCAGCATGCCAGGGTTGCACGCTGCGCTCTGCAGGGTGCTCTGCTGAGGTTTGCTCCTGGCATAACAGGGGTGTGAGATGGTAAAGGATGGGGACACTGGTGAGAAGAGAATACAGGGATTGCTCTGCTGGGATGCAGCTGGGAGAAAACAGTCCCATTCCTGCTCCCAAACTGCCCTGCTCTGTGCCAGGCCTCCCTCTGTTGTGTGCACAGAGTCGGTGCCAGCAAAAAGATGGGAAGGGATGTAGCTGGGACATCCTCACGTACACACAGGGAGGAGGACACTTAACAGAGATGCCAGCACATATTACCACTGGCCTGCCACTGGCCCTGGCTCTGAGCTCCCTCAATGGGAAAGCGCTGCATACAAGGTAGAGAACATATGAGGTACTAGCAAGGCACAAACCCACCTTATACTTTACAATGACCATGGGGATTGCTCAGGGTGGGGACAGGAATGTGGGTGTTAGATGAGATGAAGTGTTTGCTGTACCTGGCTGTCCAGTCCCAAGAAGATCAGCATGAGGAAGAAGAGGCAGGACCAGAGCTGAGACACGGGCATCATTGTTACTGCTGTTGGATAGGCTATGAAAGCCAGGCCAGGACCTGCCAACAGAACACAGGATGACCACGTGTGCCACTCACACCATCACCTGCCACCACTGCCCTGCAGCACAGAGTAAGCTCACATATTTCTTCAAAGTTTGTATCACCATAGCTTCTTGCCCACATAGGGCTGAAAGCTGTGTCATGGAGCACTGGTCCTGCAGACCTTTCTGCAGACTCCCATAGCAATAGAGGATGTAGATAACATCTTGGGCTTCACTTCAGAAAAGGGCCCTTCCTTCAGGCTCTTTGTTTTCCCTTGGCTCTGAAGTCTCAGAAAAACCTACCTGATTCAGCAACTTCTGCAATGGGTATGCCCTGCTCTCGAGCCATGAAGCCCAGCACTGAGAAAATGGCAAAGCCAGCAACAAAGCTGGTGGCACTGTTCAGGAAGCAGAGCATGATGCAGTCCCTGCAGGGAGGAGACCAGGGAGAAATCAGTGTTTCCCGCTGCAGAATGGTTCCACTTGGGATCGTGTCTGTACTCAGCTTCCCTAGTCAGGCAGCATAAACCAAGAAAAACAGTGTTGGTTTTGAACTCCCTCAGAAGTAAAAAGCTCAAGACAAAGCCAAATATCAGCCTACCTACCTTGTGCCTCACTGCACGTGGCACAGAGAATGAGGCACCACCAGTGGCTTGTGAATAGGATGACACAGTGATATACACAGGGACATGGCAACAAAAAAGCTGACAAGAGTCAAGAGAATAAGAAAAACAATAGAGAAAGTGGGGAAAAGAGCAAATTAGAAGAGGGAAGAGGTTGCAAAAGTAAACACAGGCAAGAAAGAGGAGCATCTGAGAGCATGAACGCATACAGGTTCGGCAGTTCTGGTAAACAAGGGTTCATGGGCTAACCCTAATCCTCACCTGACAAGGACTGTGTCTACATTGTCTTTATTAACTATATTCATATGGAGACTGGAATGTGCTATGCTCCTTTTCCTGAAACTTTTGTGCACTTGCTCCCTGTGAAAATGGGCCACCAGTCTGAGCTGGTTGGGCTGGAAGCCCCACACCCCAGGATCCTGCCTGGGCAGCTGCCAGAGCTGACCCACAGCATCAGCTGCTATGGGGCAGTGTGGACACCCAGCACATTTGGACCACCCAGAGCTAAGCTGCCAGTGCAAAGCACCAAAGGAATTAGAGGAAGGCATCAGTGCACTGCTCCATTGGTGACAGATACATTCCAGGAGAGCCAGAGGAAAGTATTAACTACCCGACCAACAGCCTGGCAGCACCTATCGGAGAACAGGAGAGACGACTGAAGTCTCCCAAGTACAGTTCCATTTTCCCGTCTGTGCTGGAGCAATACATGAAGGAAGAACAAAGCCCCTGCTTCTCAGGGCTCTGTAGAAGGTGTCAGAAGTGCTCCTGATGGCTCCACTGAGCCCCATGTCAGACCATGGATAAAACAGATCTGTAATCCAAGGGCATGGAGAAGGTCAGACAGACTTGATTAATCTCCTTGATAGGGTCAAAAAGCCACTGGCAGTACATTACTCTGATGACAGTAAAGCACTGGAGTCAGGGGGCCCTGCCTTCCTCTTTGTACCACCTCCCCTGCCTTGCAAGTGAAGTCAAACATGGTTGTGCCACCCCTGCCCACACACCCTGTCAAAATAGACTGTGGTGTCTATACAGTGGCTGGAGACATTCCTCCCCCTCCTCCAAATCTCCCATTTCCAACCTGACTCGTGCAGGAATGCACAATTAAAGCCATTTTCTGGAGTTCCTCTGTTCCCTCAGCCACTCTCCATCCCTGTGCTGTCCTCCACGGCCTCAGTGCTCTGAGCAGCTCACTAGTCAAAGCAGCGTGACCCAAGGTCTCCCCCGGCTGCCCCTGACACAGCTCCGTGCTGTTTGTCTCTTACCAAATTTCCAGAAGGACACAAGAAGTTTAGGCTCCTCTTACCTGTAACAGTTGTTGGTGTATTTGTTGTAGCTGCCCAGAGCTGTCAGGCATCCCTGGCAGATGGCATAAGAGAAGAGGATTTGAGTGCCTGCATCCATCCAGACCTGGAACAGAAAAGGTCAGTGGTCTCCAGACCTGACAACGACAAAACTAAATGGCTGTGCCCTGCCAACAACAACCCCTCCAGTCATGGAGAAAAAACCCTGTGAGACAGAGAGGGGATCAGTGAGTGTAGAAACTGGGATGCCTGTCTGGGAAAAATGAGCTGCAGGACTGGAAATCCTCTAGGAAAAGTCTCCTGAGAGGACGCATTTTCGCATCCCACTCAAGGTGACATCACTTTTCCATCCTTCACCTTTGCATTCAGGGTGGAGATGGCACCCCTGATGGCATGGCTCCAGCAGAAGCTGACACTGTTGGAGTCTGTGGTCCCTACGTATCCCAGGGTTTGCAGAGCCACTTGTGAGTCACACCAAACGAGACTGTGATCAAGTCAGTGTTGATGCCTTCCCTGCTCCCTAATCTAGTTTCCAGCATCCCTGAGGCCACGGTGCAGGGTGAAGGGCAGAAAATTGCCAAGCTGAGAGATTCCAGGCCAGTGGGCTGTCACACACTCAGGTTCTCCCTTGCTCTGGCATTGCCTGGGAAAAGCTGAGCAGGCTTCACCACTGCTCCAGCCCTCTCCTCTGTGGAGGAGCTGAACTGTGGGCTGAGCTGCAGCTCTGCTCTCAGGCCCTCCCAGGGAAAGCCCTGAGCTGTGAATTAGCGGGAAGGTAGGGAAACAGCTCACCTTTCTGATCATCTCCAGGTTCCTTGCTCACCCTATTTTTTTCTCCAAGCAGCCCCCAGCTGCAAACATCCAGAAAGATGGATGAAATTCTGTAGCCTTCAAAGAATCCTAGCCCAGGCATTGCTGCCTAAATTCACACAGATTTCTCATGGAAAGGTAAGTACACGGCAGCCCTTCAGGCACGGACACACATCCCAATTTAACCAAAGCCCCACATTCTGCCAAAACGCAGTAGCAGGATCTTACTCCTGCTATGCTGGGTTGCAGCAGCCTGGAAAGACCATGTCAGCTTTAGTTAGGCTGTGAAAGATAGGGACGTTTCCAGGGAATAAGCTCTGACCGTGAATAAAACACACTCAGCCCCAGTCACCCCACTGTTATTTCTTTTGATATCCAAATGCCATTTACATTCAGTTGGCTTTCTGCTTTCAGTGCACCACAGATTTTCTATTGACAACACATAGATACATCTGAAAGCAATTTGGGGGGGACAACAGTGGGTTTGGCAGCTGGTTAGGGAGCAGCTGGGGCTTTGGGCATCTGGGAAGACACGTAAGGTCAACTGAGACTGTGGGCTAAGCCTATTGCTTGGCTGCCTCCATGAAATGATTCAGCAGTGGAATAATTAGCAGGAAGTGTCATTTAAATGCTCCTCTGGGAGGGGGGTCGACATTAACACCTCCGTGGGCATTGCTGAGCCCACGTGGGGAAGAGAAGCAACCTACTGCTGCAGAAAGGTGTGGGAGCAGACACCCCAGAGGGATCCTCCAAGGGGGACCCTGTGCAGCCCCCAAGGGTGCTGCCCACATCTTGCTAATTTGGGCTACCTTGCAGGTCCTGGGTTTGTCTGCACCCTCTGCCCTTTTTGTCATCTCTGACCCTATTTTTCACCTCTGGGTACACAGCATCCTTCTTCCCAAGGTGGGGAAGGTTTCCACAAGCTCCAGTGAGTGGTGGCAGGGATTGACCCTTTGGCCAGGCCCTGACCCAGGCAGGTGGGACCAGCCCCCAGGACAGGTGAAGTGAACTTATTGCCCAGCTGCTGGGGCACAGCCCATGTTACATGCCTTCAGTCTGTGCAAGCACAGGGACCCTAACACTTCTTGGGAGGGCCCTGTTGGACCCAAACAAAGTGCTAACCAGGCCAGAAAAAAAATGAAAAATGGTAGATTATATCCCCCCCGTCCCTTAGTTATTTGCATTTAACAGTTAGGAAAACCATCTGTTACATGCTGAATATTTGATATACTCTTCTGGTTTTGCTGAGCCCATGAGTGGAAATGATCTAATATGTCCATATGCTGCAGACCATGAGCAAAAAGGCTGTGCTGTGCAGGGGGACTAGACCCCTCTCGGCAATTTTAAGGATTCTGGTTCTTTGGTCTCCTTTCAGAGAAGACAGCTAGATGGTCAGTCAGCATCAGATCCAACGGCCAAGGCACTGAAAACATTCTCATGGCCAGCATTTGCCCGACACCCCACCCACCTGCGGGTCTGCCAGCCTGGAAATGTCTGGCTTCAGGTAGAAGATGATCCCCTCGGCAGCACCCGGCAGCATGACTCCTCGCACCAGCAGGATGATGAGCATCACGTATGGGAAGGTGGCAGTGAAGTAAACGACCTGCAGGCACAGGGAAACGAGAGGAGAGAGGGTCAGCAGGGAGGCAGTGCAGGCACCACCTTATCTCGTCTGCAGGCCCCCACCCCAGCAAAGGTCCCTGGGCTCTGCTGTTGGCTATAGCTGCTACTGCTTGCATAGGAGAGGGGTGGGAAAGAAATTAATCAAGGTTATGTCTCACTGGTGATTTAGTTAATCTACATTTTGTTCCTCATCCAAGACTCTGCCACTGGTTGCTCTGCTTTGTTTTCTCTTCCCAGTCAGTGTAATTTCCCTGCTCTCCAGCTGTTCTCTTCATCTTTCTAGGGCTGTAGAAAAAACCCAGATCTCTTCCTGTCACTGAGTTTTAATGAGGAATTATTAAAATGGTCCTATGCCCAGCAAGAGTTTTCCAAATTAAATAGCAACTCTTGCTGCCCCATTTGAGACACCTCTGAGGAGTCTCATTTCCAGGAGTGTTCATGCATCAGTCTCATCCCTTCAATGCCTCTGAGCTCACAGTTAAAAAATGGGGGCACCTCAAAGCCTTTAAAGAAAATGTAGACCATTACTTCTGTAATACTTTCTTTTCACTTCTTCTCTTATGTGATGTAAATAAATATTACAGGAGAATTAATCATCACTAATCCATTGCCTAAGGTAACATATTCTTTTTGTTCTATTTGTAAAATATTTGTGAGCAAGTTGCAACTTCCTAACATTTATTCATTACTAAAATTTATCCAAGTAATGTGAAGGCTTGTTTACTCTGTGGATTCATAGTGAGAGGCCTGAAATGAAATTTTTTTCTGCTTAGTGATAATTGGTTGAATAAGTGACAGTACGTGGTACTTTTGCTGTTCCTTGATTGAATGGGAATGCGAGCACTTTGAGCACAAGTATTAAAATCTACCTTCAGAAATAACTTCTGGTGAGCCTTTATACACATCTGCTGAATGCATGAGGAAAGGAAACATGGAAAGAGCACAAAATTGGGCAAAATTAAAAGAAAAAGACTTCTAAAGAAAATTAGTTTTCATGGAGTTTTTGAAATTATTTTCCTGAGGTCACTATTGTTTCTTTGAGTTTGGATTCCTTAAATAACAGAAGCAGAAACATAAGGGTCTGGCAGGGTTATCTGACTTAGAACAGTCTCTCAGGCATGCACAACCCTCTGTTTAAACTGCAGCTGTTGAACAGAGTTATGCACCTACTCAGAATTCTTGGGTCTTCTCTACTGCATATCCTAATACCTTGTCAGTGAAGAAAGAGAAGGAAGCAATTGAATTTTTTGACAGTGCCCCTGTAATACTCAAAATTACTATCTGCAGAGAAGACAACTGACCTGTTTGACCTGTAGTGTATTTTGGGACAGAAAACCCCACCCTGTGTTGTTGCACCATGTCCATAACATCTGGCTGGTAAAAAGTAAGCCCTGTGTCCTAAAACTTGTGATGGAAAAATCTTCTGTAGTTTCAGGAAGACCATTCCAGCTATTGTGTGCACTCACTGTTTTCTGTTTCTGGCCTGGTCTTGCCAAACCCTGTCAGCCCAACCAGCCTGACTGAACTTCTTTAGTTTTCTCCTTCTGCAGGGAAGTTTTGTGCACCAGGGCATCACTGGGCAAAAGAGAGACTCAGTGGAGAAAGCTGAGAGCTGAAGGGAACCCGGGGTGACTTACACTTCCATGCAGATCAAACACCCTCTCAAGATCCAATCTCCCAAGATCAGCATGATGCCTCTTGTGAAGATGGCAAACCAGGGGGCATCAGGGATTTAAGGTTTAAAATGCAGAGCGTTCCCTCTCCCCATAGAAGTGGAGTCTGGCTCTCCCTCCTTGAGAAATGGTGGACAACAGGTCAGCACCAGCAAGAGCCAGTCACCAGCAGAAAGTGGGAAAAATCTAGTGAGCAGAGCAAGCTATTGTCTTGCTCTGCTGAAATGGGTGTCCAGTGCAGTTTTCAGGTAGCAGAAGTGATTTCATGCTGAAATACAGGTGTCCAGTGCTCCAGGAAACACCTGCCAATGGTAGAGATAGTGACCTGAAGGAAGAAATCTTTGCAGAAATTGATCCCCCTCCCTTTGCCACTGGGACATCCGCTGGATACCCACAAGACTCAGCCGTCATTAATAACCCACCCATCTCATTGTGATTCCAGGGAGGAAAGTGGTCCTGAGTAAGTCAAGGCCATGGCAGTGTCCTTAACACCCAGCCCAAGGCATCACAAACTCATTCACTCCAGAAGGAAAACCAGTCCACCTGCTCTACAGGATCAACACGGGCAGGGAGCTCTGGCTCCAGCCTCACTAGCAAAATGCAGAAAGTGACCTTCAGAGCCAAAAAATACACAGGCAGGGGGAAGAAAAAGGAGAGCACAAAGACACTTCTCTCACCGCAAGTATTTTGCAGGATAAAGAAGCAGGAGAGATTCATTATCTATTCACTGATCTGGTTACAGGCAGCAGCTTGTCTGTTTTGCTCAAGTGTTTAATTACTGCCAGGGATGGGAAGTTTGCCACTGCAGATGATCTTGTTAAAAACACCAGCAAGCTACACCCGGACAACACACTGGTGAGCAGAGGATTCCCAAGGACACTTGGGGAGTATCCATCAGCCACTCTGGGTATCCGCAAGGAAAAAAGTGACTCAAGGCTCCCCTCAGTTCTTTCCCTGTTCTCCTCTTCCTGTTGGAGCTACTCTTTTAGTCTTCCTTTTAGGGGTCAAACACCACTGGTGTAAATCAGTATGGCCTCACCAAGTTTTAGGTTTGACTTTGGTAATGTGTCTCCTGCCTCTATTTCATGAAGAGGGAAAAGAGATTGGGGAAGAAATGTAGGATGGGTACAAGGAGGCTTATGGACTGGGAGGATAATCTCCGTTCCTACTTTTCCTGTGGACTTGACCCCTTTCCAGATGCAGAAGTAGCAGATGATCCACGCCAGCAGGAGACACAGAGCCAGCTCCCAGCGCACAGTGCCCAGTTTGTGAATACCATCCGTGAGCCCCAGGACTCGCTTCCTGCCAGTGTCCGGGGACAGGGAGAGAAGCATTAACACCCCAGACCCAACTCACCCATACAGACCTTTCCCATATTACCCCATCCAAAATCTTAGCAGACTATCTGCAACACATCTGCCCAGGGCTCCCAGCCATGTGAATCACCCCAGCTCTGCCTAGGGCTCCCCTCTCCCTCATTTCTGCAGATGCTGCTCCACCATGTCTTGTAGCTGGCCCAAACTCTCCCACTCTCCAAACTCGTGGTGCTGTGCCCTTTGGACCCAAGCTGGACAAAATCAACAGCTGCTCCTCATTGCTCCCCCACCCTGGCAGATGCCCAGCAGAGACTACTCAACCCAAAGCAGGGGTGAGTGAGGATGCCATCATCACATCAGGCCATCACTCTTCCTCCCCATGTACTGCAGACACCCTATATATAAGTATAAATGATCTTTATAATTCCCATGCCCTTCCTTCAGCCTCCTTCCTTGAAGATTCATCTTCGTGAGGGTGGGCCACATGAGAGCTCAGCACTGCACCTCGTGCAGCACCCAGAAGCCCAACCCCACACTTACAATTCCTCTGCACACCCTTCTTCAAACCAGTCCCCTCAGGTCCCCTTGCTCTCTCTGCGGAAAACCTGAACAACCATATCAGAGGGGTCTCAGCTCTCACTAAAAGTGTGTGCAAAGAACAGAGCAGGAGAGGGGGGCCAGCACTGCGCAGACTCTTTCTGCAACCATGGGTGCTTATCATCTTCTATGTGCCCTGTGGTGGCTGCAACAGACAAAGGACACTCAACCCTTTCAGAGACACTTAAGGACACATAAATGGGGGAGGAGACAAAAATAAACAAACAAATAAACAAAAAGTCCCAACTGCTGAAGCTGAGTCCCTGACACCCCTCTTCTTTATGAGACCTTCCTCAGTAGAGTGTGGAGAGGTAGTGTGGCACCAGTAGCTGTTTCAACCTCTCTCTGGGACACTGTCTGCCCTGCTGCAAGACCCCTCCCTCAGACAATGCTTTATTGCCTCCAGCCCTGTGACCAAACCTCAAATTCCTCCCTGGCATCTCACAAATGCATCTCAGATCCCCACTCTCCAGGGATGATCCTGAGCACCCTGATCGACCACTTCCCTTAGGCAGCAAGCAAGACATGGTCAGAAGAAGAGAACAGGCAGTTTGGTCCTTTCTGTTTCACTGCAGAGGGCTGTTCAGTCTGCCCTGGCCCCTCATGCTCACCTGCCAACAGCAGCCTGCAACACCCAGCACATGGATCCCCTGCTTCTAGCAACTTCTCATCTGATTTTGGTGCCTCTTTCGGTGGCCACACTCACCCAGGCACCTCAGTGCCAAAGAGAGAACATGCCTGTGCAGGTGTGCACATGAGCACCCTCGGGCAGGCACACCGTGGGGTGTACCCAGTCCTCACGCCCCTGGGCTCTGTGCCAATCTCCTTGGCAGCTCATTGTGCTCCCCATGTTCAGGTCTGACATGTGGCACCTCACTCGGTCCTACAGAGATGCACAGCCCACCGCCCAGATACTCCTAGAGCTGCAGCCTTTGGATGAGAGAGGAGCCTGAACAGAAGGAAAGTGATCACATACTCCCAAAACTCAATCATTGAGGAGGTGGCGTTCGCAGGCAAGGTCCTGTTGTCCAGGCTGGATCTATTCAGAATGTCCACACAGAGATCTACCAAAAGAAAAGGAAGCTGATGAGCCAAAGAAATTCTCTAAGGCTCCTTCATGGGGGATGCTCCTTCCCCTCTGCACCCTAACCCTCACTCTGGCAGCACACAGATCCTTTACCTTGTGCTATAGAGCATCTCATTAAACTTTTGCATCTCATTAAGCATCTCATTAAACTCTGGCTCTCCCCAGCTACGAATCCCAATCCAGCAGTAGCCAGAGGGCTTCAGGAAAGGGAAAGGGGAAGGAGAGAACCATTCCCTGCCAAATGGAATCCAGATGGCTGCAAAATATAGATTATCAAGGGATAGCCACTATGAGTAGCCAGGATAGAAAATCCCATTCTCTTCCCCCATCATGTACCATTCCCTGTCCACACATGCATGCATATGTTCACACACACTGCAGATGTTCCCTTCTACCATCCCCAACTCTGTTACACAGCATGAAATTACTAAAACCAGAGGAGATGCCATGCATCCAGGAAATGCACCTCATCTTGCATTTCACCAGCAAAAGACAATCCACTGGAAAAACAAGGAAGCCTAGATGTGGCTGGGAAGCTTGTGTCTGTTGAGATAACATCTGTGGCTTTCCTCACAAACAAACCATGCTGGAGGAGCTGAAGGAATCAGATCAGCTCTTCAAAAGGCTGGTTACCTCTGCTGGGATGAAGGGGCAGAGGAAGCTGTAAGTGAATGGCCCATGGGGTGGAAAAATTTAACACATCACAGAAACTGATCATCTGACAAGAGAAAAGGGGAGGGAACCAAGCTGCTGCCAAGCAAAACAACCTGTTCAACACATTAAAAATGTCCTGTCAAGGATGTGAGGTCCATGGGATTACTTCACATCTACCCCATCTTCCCAGTGCCTTGAGTAAAACCAAAGCCAGGTCTTCTCTGCTAGGTGCAGTTATATGAATTGTGGGCATGAGGAGATGAGATCCCTGGCCAGTGTGAAGGTATAGAGGCTGTGTGGATGTGATTAAACCAGGAAAACAGTGCCCTTATAGTTTTGTGTTACTGGTTCCTTCACTTGGGGACCTGTACTGGCAAAATTCTCCAGTGCAGGCTTGGCCTGATTTAGCCAAAAGCTGCGAGTGCAGAGGAAACTCTTCAGGCATTGGCAACAACTGTCCCAGTAACTCTGAAGGAGTGGAGTAAGCGAACTGTAAGATAAATTGTTGTACCAGAGCTAATAAAAAGCTCCTGCCACATGAGGAGGACCCAAGATTGGCTTGAAAACTCTCCCACCTACCTCTTCCACTTGCCAGAAAATGCAGATTTTTTTTTGTGAAATCATATTGCAGCTCATAAGAGGTTCTTATTCAAAGAAAAAAAATATTTTCTACAAATCCCAAATAATTTCTGGGCATCGGAAAGAAGGTAAAAGCTGTACCTGAGTTCCAGGGGTTATTGCAGCTAGCCCATGGTAGCACTGAATTGAAGGAGCTGAACAGGTAGAAGAGTGCCCAGGACAAGATGACAATGTAGTAAATATTCAGATACCACTCAATGATTTGTGTGGCATATCCAATTCCTGTGAAGGAAAGGAAGGAAAGGAGGTGAGGATGGGACTGCCAACCAACTCCCAGCACATCAGGCTTGCAACACCAATAACATGGCTCACCAGACAATAGGGTAAGACCTACATAAGGGAAAGAGAAAGGATTTTGAGACTGTGCATGCAGACAGGACACATTGTTGGTATGTCTAGACAGGTCTACTTCGGAACATCCAGAAAACTTTACGCTGATGTGAAAAAAATGTTTTGACCACTACAGTGCCACTGCACTGCAGTGCCTCTCCTTCAGGAAAACCAACTCTAGCCTTTAAAGAAAAGAAATGCAGCTGAATCTCTTACTCCTGGGAAGACTCAGGAAAAAAATGTTCTCGCAGCCAATATACATGAAGTAAGGTGCAGGGGCCAAGGTACAGACCTGGGAGCACAGCGCTGGTCTTGTGCTGACTGTGCCCATTGCTCGCTGAGACATCAGAACCATACTCAGGCCAGAAAGGTCCAACTCATTCCTTTAAAACTGGTTGTCAGTGACCTTTGAGATGCCACTGCTGTTCACCTCCAGGCCTGTGCCAGAGGTCTCCAGTGCAGGAGGTCCCAGAGTCCCCAGGGAGTTTCAAATAGGGCTGCACGCCCGTGCTCGAGCAAACTAACCAGGCCTGCAGTCTGCCTGAGCACAGGTTTCCCTGTCTGCAAAAGGTGGGTAATAAGCTCTCCTCTGGACAGCAGAACTGAAGAAATCAGATTCATTAATACATTAATGCCATTAAACAACCTTCCCAAGGGCTCCAGAAGTCGTGGTTCTTATATCTGTGTCTTAACCTAAACCCCATGCCATCTCTGGGCTGTCAGATCAGTACATGCAACATGATTCCCTCCAGTTTGGATGATGCCAGCCTGCAAAAGCTGCCACAGCAGCCTGGACACTTCAATGGGCAGGGAAAGCACTATAAACCAGCCATCTTTCCTCATCCTTTTCTCACTATTTGTCCTGGACTACATGCACGTGTTTATGTATTGACACTTCCATCCTCCTCCTGCAAGCTGGCCATCCAGTTTCTCCTCTCTCCCAGGCTCTGAGCTTCTCAAAGCAGAGACTGGAGTTCAGCTGGACCAGCACAGCCCCCGGTCAGCACCACACACCCTCAGTCACCTCCCGAGGGGTCAGGGAACTGCCCCTGCACACACAGCAGTCACCAGGAGGGATAACAAGGCTGAGAGAGAGAGAAAGGGAGGGAGAATAAAGGAGAAAGAAAAAAAAAAGAATAATAATAACAACATTTCTGAAAAAGGCTGTGAGTCACTAATTGTTAGAAAGTGCTGCCAGTAAATCCTGTAACTTGACTGACCTTCAAAGATGGGACAGATCTTCCTCCAGGCAGTGACCCCTCCCTGGCTCGTGTACTGCCCCAGCGCCGTCTCCAGGAAGAACAGGGGGATCCCACAGGTGAAGAGGAAGATGAGGTAAGGGATGAGGAAGGCTCCTGCAGAGAGAGGTCAGATGCTCCCTCAGAAACCTCTTCAAAAACCTTATTCTCACCACTCCTTGCCAGGTACCTGGGGCCACAGCTGGAATCAGCTAGATAAACACAAATATTTCTCTGAATTAACTGTGCAACCTCTGCTAGAGAGGCAAGGTCTCCAACACCATCATTTTTCAGAAAAAAATACAAGGGTGGTCTGTCTACTGCCAAATGCAGTACTTCTGCATTTGTTCTTGGCCAAAACCTAAAGGTAAAGAGTAGCCAGATAAGGGGATAAAAAAAAGTAAAAAAAAAGCAGTGCTGGAGTTCTCCCTGCTTCATGCTCCTGACCTCATTCCTGTTTTCAGCAGGAGTGGGGTGAACCAAGTCTTTGTTTCACATAACCACATTTGTTCTGCCTTTCACGAGAGTCACAGCAAAACTCCCACTTGCCCAGAGGATACAAACCTGGAGGCTGGTGACATTTCTTACTAAGTAATAAATTTGCCAGGATATAAATTTACTTGAGGTATATTTCATGTCAAATTTGAAAAGCAGTTTGCACCAAAAGAATGGAAAAAGGGGAAGGGCAACAGAGTATCTTTCCAGCATTTTCAAAATGAAGAAGGTTAACTTCTCCCTTTGAAATCAATTTTTTATTACAATGTAGAGCAATGTCTTAAGAGAAATCAGCCTAAAATAGAACTCAGATTAACCCTTGAGGAAATGGAAGAAGAAGGAGAGCAAAAGCAGGATTTTTCCAGAAACAATGACCAACATTAGCAAAGCATCAGAAAAGACAAAAACAAAAACATCAAAGTTGAATGCCCTATAAAAAGTAGTTTAATGCCCTGTTAGCTGTCTGAATCTTTTTTCCTTCTTTTCAGTTCTGCTGCCAAACCGAAACACCCAGTAAATTCACTGCTCTGCTCAAAACTGGTCCTGAGATGTCATTTTCACAGCTGACCTTCCTTCTGTCACCTCACTGCCTTTCTCCTGATCTTTAGTGTAGGTTTTCACACTTTCACTCTGCTCCAAACAAGCTAAGGCAACCGTCTTCCTCACTGAAACAACTGTCAAGGTCTTGCCACTCCACACAGTAAACTTTTGGTCATGGGTAGCTCTCGCTGCCAGTGCTTGCAACCACAGCGAGGGTCCCTTTCTCAGCCAAACCCAGACATTGTCCCCCCCCAGGCCCTTTCCTCTCCTGCCAGCACCAGGCATCCGCACTGAAATCCCTTCCTGTGACAATTAGCAACTGGGAACACTTGCCCTTGTTTTTAAGCCAACAATGTTACAATAACAAGGAACATCCAAATTTTCCCCTAAACACAGCTGTGTGTAGCTGCAGGAGACCTGGGGCCAGAGGGAAGGAGGCTGGTTCTCCGGGTCAGTCCAGGTTTGCAGAGCAGGGACAGGGAGCTGCATGTGCTGAACTAGAGGCAGCTCTGCTTTTGGTGCTGCAAGACATCTATCTGTTTGCCAAATCTGCAAGACAGCTTTATCATCCTGCACACAGATGAGTCTTTCAGCAGATTCCAGATTCTCTCCTCTGATAGCATTTGTCTCAGAGGTTGACCCATTGTGGTCTCTGAGCAATGAGGGCTTTGTTAAACCTCTGTTACCTTGTCTCTTGTAACCATCCCAGAGCAGTTACCAGCTGAAACTCCAGTTGTGATCCCCTCCTCAACTTGCTGCTCCGCTGGAGGACTGAGGGGCCCCCAGAAACAGATTCTTTTTCCTTATGAGACAACAGCAAGTTCAGGATGCTGAGCAATTAGATCAAATTTGATAGTGCAGCCATAGGTAAGGCTACAGTTGGTTGCTTTACAGCAAATTAGTGCTATTGTTTCTATGGCATCTCTCTTACAGCTTTATAACCATCTCAGTACATCTGAAGGTGGAGAAAGGTGACAGGACAGCCGTCTCCAGTTTGGGGAGGAGGGACGGGGATGCAAAAATTATAGGTGGAAAATGCCTTCTTTGCCATTTCAAGGACTTTTCCAATGATGAGAATACCTTTGAGTGTCATAGGAAAGACAGTGCCTTGTCCCACACAAGTTTGTCAGCCATCTGGTTCCCTAGAGCCCTGGAAAGAGAATTGTACCTTGTACAGCAGTGGCATACCTTCTGCAAAGGCAGCATGTGAGCTGTGAGGGAAGGCCTCTCCCATCCTAATCTTTCCCAAGCCTAGCCTTGTTGCCCTCTGAATTGCAGCTTTAGATATTCCAGAGTAGTTTAATTTAAAAAAAAAAAAAAAGTTATTCAACAGGTATCTAAAGTGAACAAAAGTAGCCTTTTCACTTACACTAATTATCATACAAATTGCAAGGACTACTGAGCCAGATACCATAGGCATAAACTATGCAAAGATATCATCTGAGCTCAGGAAGAAATTTTCCATGCAAAACCCATGACTCCTCTCTCAAAGCATCCCTGCAGAATGGGCTGTTCAATCAGAGGCACCCCCAGTGTTTACTAACCCATGCTGGTCTGACTTGCTTTTGGTGCCTCCAGTGCCTCCCATCAAAACATAGGAAAAGGAGACTGGAGGATCTGCTAAAAACCATCCCAGGTTTAAGAAAAACTCAATTCCATTTTCTTTAACTATTTCTTACCCAGCCCCTCTTTGTTTTAGAGGACTCATTGTATTGTCTCCTGTTTGATTTGGAAGTCCTGGGATAAACTACAGTGGAACCACTCATCTATTGGTGAAAGCTCATGGCGCCTTGGACAAAAAAGGCATTTGTGGCATGGTTTGCAGAGAAAGGAATTTTAAAGTGGGGGGAACAAGCAAGTCCCAGAGTGTTATTTCAAGGTGTCTCTAGAGAACAAGAACAAAAGAGAAGTTATTGCTGTATTTGACATGTAATTTGTTATTCCTCCTTTTCTTTTACAAAGTTGATTTTGATTCACCAAGAAAAGTTAGTGACAGTCAATTATTCCCTTCCGTTTCATTTTATTGTTATGAGAAAGTTTAATTTTTAACCATGTAATGATCTTACTGCAGTGCTACTGGAAAAGGAGAGCCATGCAAAGAGACAAAGGGGAAGGTGAATGAACCCTTCCATGGGTTTTCCTAGTAGTGGTTTGATGGCTGGGGGAACTGCTCCTGAGAAAAAGGGAGAAATGTCCTCCTAAGGAGTATCAGGCCTTGGCAAGGATACCAGCACTATCTAAGCTTTTCCTCTGTGAGGAAGGGCCTGAGAGAGGTGGAGGTAACACAGGGAGTAGGAAAAGGGAATTGTGTAGGAGGAGGCTGCTGATGGCTTTCTGACCATTCACAGCACTTGATAGTTTCCAAAGACCACCAATTTCTTGAGATACCCAAGGGCCTTAAGAAGTTACTAGAGTTAATTCAGCATCCAAACTTGAGATTGCTGCTTTCAGAAACAGTACCTGCTGGACAGCTGAATTCACCCCTCAGTTTTTATTCCTCCTGGTTTTGGCGGGAGCTAACTTGCTGGAGGAGAAGATAAGGGAGTGCACGTTGGGGCACATGAGGCATAGGAGAAACGGGTTCAGGCATGCACGTATCTCTTGTCATGGCTACAGATCTAGAACATCTCATGCATGCTGTGAACTTACCACCACCATTCTTGTAGCAGAGGTATGGGAACCTCCACACGTTACCCAGACCAATGATCTCCCCCGCCACAGACAGCACAAACTCCACTTTGCTACGCCACTGGCCTCTCTCTTCCATTTCCTCCACTTTTGTCTCTTCAGGACCTGCAATGGCCCCATTGGGCTCTCCTTCTTTAGGCACAGCTCTTGTCATGGCTCTGTGGGACAGAAGAAAAGGAGAACATGGGATGTAGAGAGCCACTGCAGGACAAGCTGGTGGGAAGAGGGAGGGAGGGGACCTGTCACCACAATAGTTGTGTTCCTTGTGTCAGCCTGAGGTTCCATTATCCTCCAGAAAATGGTTTCTTTAGTGTCAGCACAAAGTATTATCCCCAAGTTATGTCTGTGCTGAAGAGATAGAGGAAAGGTCACTGATCAGGTGAGATGAACCCACCCACACTACCCCTTTACTGGACTCACCCCTGAATTCATCCTTCCCTGCCCACAGCCCCCTTCTTCATCCTTCCCATCTGCCCCTGACTAAGTGCTCTGCACCTCCATCATTGCTGAAACCTGGCCTGTTAAATTGGAAACAGCAGTTCAGAGGAAGAGAACAGGAGCTGGAGCTGAAGCAGGGAATGGAGGCAGAAGGAGTTTCTTCTCCCAGTGTGCTTTATACAACAACTGTCTCCTTCTGGTTTTAGATGGCAGGAGAGAAATGTTAATAAGATTAATAGTCTGAACAAGAATGGACAACCTACTATCTTACCTCAAGGCACTGGTAGGAGTGTTGTCTTTGTCCCCCTGGACACCACATTACACTACCACAGCCTGACAACGCAGCAGTGCACAGACACTTACTTGACCCAGGCTCTCTTCACTAACAAGCAGGCACCAGCACCAATCCTCCACCTTTGCCTAACCTTTCAAAGAATACAGGGCAAGGAAACAAAGCCTCTGGGGTAAGCAAAAGGGCCTCATACTTGTGAGGTGTTTCATGTCTGAGCAAGGGAGTTCTGAGATTAGACAAGTCCAGTGCTGCAGTGAAAATATCAGTGGGAAGAAGCCCAGAGGTAGAAACACAGAGAGAAGTCACTGTTGGAGGAGACACGTTGAATGTGGCTGGGCCTCCAGAGTGGCACAAAATTAAGACATTTTCCAGTCTGTACTAAATCCTGCATTACATTTAGCATCATCTTAATGAAGCAATGTTAGTGGTTGCTTGTTAAAAGATGCAATTCTCTACCATACACAAAGTCCTTTTATTGGCTACTTACTTTAAATCTAATCAAAATTCACACAGACCAGACTGAATCTTCTTTTCAACAACATTTTCATGTTGTTACAGGCATTTGATTATAAGAAGAAATGAAAGCATGAAGAGAGAAAGCTCCCTCTGTCACAGCTAAAAAAATTCTTCTCAAAATCTTCCTCTAGTGAGTTTCCTGAGGTAGGGATGCACATGTCAGTCCTGACACAAAGCACAGACCTAACACGAGCAGGGAATCTAGTGAACCATGACAGGGAAGTCCTAATTTTAGCTACATCTCACTGGTGGCATTATTAGTAAGCACATGACCTCTGATAGAGTGATTGGCATCAGCAAGGGATACACATTGCCATGTTGGGATTGGGAAACTACACCGGAAACAAAGCAGCAGCATCTCTGTTTCCATTTCCAGCATCTGAGGCTGCAAAGAAATCAGGGCTTGGTTCCTTCAGTAGTAACTTACAGATTCAATTTGCTGGTGGTTCACCAGGGTTTTTTTTAATGGCACATCTATCATTCCTTCTGTGCCACCTAAGGGGACATCCCCATCTCTGGGGAGCAACAGGGACAGCAGTCTGCATCACCCACACTGCTTAACACTTCCACTGCCCCCAGATCTGCTCTGGACTACTTCAACTTGCTCTCTCTCAGGCAAAGTCCAAGCACAACTCTGGAGGCAGCTCAGGCCAGGGACCTCTCCCAGTCAGCAACTCAGTGGTGAGCAGGATCTTGTCACCTTTGATGTCCTTTACCTTATAGGACCACCAAATCTATCTATCTATCCACCCTTTGCACCAGGACCTATTCCCTCCCTCCTTATGCCTAGTCTCTCTCCAGTCATCTCCCTGTGGACCAGCATCAGGGCATGAGATATCTCATGGGGAGTAGGGACTACCAGGGAATATGACTGAGCTGGAAATAAAAGCACACATGTAGACTCTTAACATCTAATTGTCCCAGCAGCCAAGGAACACCACAGCACTTGTTTTGGTGTAGTTTCCAGTGAGGCAAGGGGGAAGCAGGAACAGGAACTGGTTGGCTCTGCTGGCACTTACCCCACACAGGACAGCATCATTATCAAAGTAATGAAATGATTTCCTAAATGCAAGCCCTCTGGATATATCAGGCCCTCAGGCAAAGAAACATGCTTGTGTATGAAAAGACAACTTCTAATGAATGTTCACAGCAAAACAAGTAGTTCTTTAACACAGACATGTTTCCTCCCTCTGTTATTCAAGCAAAGAAAGGAAATCAGATCTCACAATGTAATACACCACTAGCTCTCTAAGTGCCCAAGGCAACAACAGTCTTTGTTCCCCCATCTGCTTTCCTGAAGGGCCCATCCTGTTTGCTTTGAAATCATCAGCAGATATCCATGGACTCTGAACGTAAAGGGATGAATCTCCTGCAAAGCATCAACCACTGTAATAGAGGCTGCAGCAAGAACGAGGGGAGCACAAATCAAGGAGGAGAGTAATCAGGGGTCAGTGAAGAGCGTCCTCCAGGCTAACACAGCTGCCTCTTCGAAAACATTGCATAAGATCCTGATCCCTTATAAATTTGAGAGGGGTTTAGAGCTATTTCCAATAAGAGCTCATATATGGGCAGTACTGCAGTGGGCATAACAAGATTCAGTGTCAAAGGCAGATGCACGAGGGCACTAAGGAATCAATCTCCGTTTTATCTCCAGCCCTTGCCCTTTATGGTCCATATGCTGGAAAGCACCTATTTACTGGTATGGCTTGCATAGTCCCAAACCCAGCAAGGGCTCTAACACATATAGATCTACATATGAGTGTAAAGGTCAATCAGCCCTCTAACAGGCTCATACAAACCTCAACCCCCACATTTTAAGAAGGTAGTATCAAGGCACACACCCTAAATGCTGGCTTGCAGCAGCAGCTCACCAGCACAGAGATCCTCCCAGTCCCAGCTTTGCCCTCTTCCCTTAGCTCGCCTGCTGGGCTGCATAGGGAGGTGGAAACATCGTGTCCTCCTGCCAGCCATTTCTCAGCTTCTGAAGCTCAGGCAAGGCCCCTTTCCCCACTGCCTGCCTGCAGCAAGGCCTGCCAGCTGGCTAATCAGTTTATTCCGATGCTGCAGCACAGCCTCCTCATCTTTGAGAGGAGCAGAGCTCCACGCACTGTCAAATGTGAGAGAAAAAGTAACACATACTTAATGAGATGTGTTTGATCTGTCACAGTCCTTGGCACATTCCAATTTGCTGCAGTCCAGGGCACATTATCAAGTACAATGATGTTTAAGTCTGGGTTTATTGAGGATGTCACAGGAAGATGGCAGGAGATGACTTACCTAATTCTTTGCTTTTATTCTTTTAATGTAAGGTGGATGCAAGAGCCAGCCTATTTCTACTAATATTTGTGTTTTACTTCTCTTTTGTTAGACCTGTTTCACATGTGGGGGAAGGGGAAGATCACAATCAGGTAATCACCTGTCACCAAGCCCCAGGAAGGGAATGCTACGAGTGACAGCCTGCAGCCTCAGCCCTGTCACCAGCCTCCACCCCAGGGACACCTGGACCAGAGCTTTGACTCTGCATCTGTCCTTTGACTCCTGAATAGGCCAACACAAAGGATAGAATCTGTGATGCTGCAATGAGGAACATAGCTTGGACAAACATAGAACAGCAGAGGAGATGCAGCACCTGTGGCTTCATTTTCCTATTTTAAGAAGGGGGAAAGCACCCTGGTTATGAAGTCAAACCTCTTCAGCTGGGAACAGATGATGGATTAAACTGGTGCCCAAAGTTTTGGTCCTTCATGTCATGAACTACAGCTTCTCCTTTCCCAGACAAAGCCATGCACAGCATTACACATCCCCACTACTTCCCTCTCGGCTTTGCCTGCTGTTTCTGTGATAAAGCCTATTTATTTACCTCCTGGCTCTCTTTCTAAACATCTAATCCTACTGTGCCCCTGCCCTATATGTTCTGGGGCCAGATGGGGACTCGAATAACTTCTTGTTTCCAGCTAAGAACAATTTGGTTCTCCCACGGCAGCCGCAGCCATCTACTGTGTTACATCCTTCCTGACAGGCAGACATTTTCCTCTCCCTTTGGATACCCCTCTCCGTAATATATGAGTTCAAAGTAAAGACTGTGCCCCTCACTGCTGACCTGCACCTTTTCTGCTGTTCTTCACCAAATTTTGGGGGAAAAAATCCTATGACTCTTTCATTCCCAGCCTCTTTTTTCCCTCTGCCATAAAGTTTTTCCAACTTTTAAGATGCCATCTGATGCAATCCATAGTCTACCCCTCTCCTGGACCCACTCAGCCACCACCACCACCTCCCCTTCTCAGCTCCCTCTGAACTCAACAGTCTCTTCTAGAGGTGCTTTGCTGTATTTTCAGCCCTCAGCACTTTGAGGAGGTGCTTTTTGCCAGGCCTGGAGTACCCTTCACAGGAATGACCTGCAGTCTGTCATCTTCCTACAGAGTAGGAGGCTTCCTCTGTGCCCAGTGCAACAGGCAGCTCTGTGTGAAATGGTACAGGGCTGGGCATGGTGCATGGAAGCAGCCACATTTTTTCCCAAAAAAGATTTACTGCTGAAAAAATAAGAACACTTGGATTCCCACAGGTTCTGGAAGGAGAACAGGCAGCATGCAAGCATCCATAAACATAGACCAACAAGTTCCCTTCTTCAACATTTGAATGAGGTAACTCAGTCTCCCTCTGGTCACAAATTTTGGGCTTTGTTTGTCCCACACCTACCACCACAGGATTCTTCAAGTATGGTCACAAAAGGCAAGGAAAAGCAAAGACACCTCTGAAGTGCTCTGGACACTCACCCGTTGGGTCTGATGTGCTGAACACACAATGCAGATATGCAGGAGAACAGCATTTTTTGGCTTTATTTGGAAACAAGATGCCACTAAAGAGGAGAGGCAGGAATCAGAAGAAGAGGAGCATATGAAAAGAAAGCAT